GATTTCACAAATGGTGCAGTAATACAATTTGTGTTGATTTGTGTTGGTGACCAGACCCACACTTCCTCTCCTCCAAATTTTCAGTCACGCAACCTGTGATGTTTATTCGCCAAAAGCTGTTGAAACATTAATACACAGACAATGTTATGGATATTGTTTGCTTTATTGTGTGTAAAATATATTTTCATTTGGTTTTATCGAAGCATTGGATTCGAAGGAAATAATAAATACGCTAAAAAAGGTATTACATCAGCCATGGAATGCACTGACATTGCAGTTTTCACTTTCGCTATGTGTCAAATGAGATCGTGTTTACTTTGCAAGTTTATTTTGCCAGAAGCGTTGGTCACTGATTTATTAGCAATTTTGTGAGTATTTCTTGTGGGTTTCAGCAAATGAAGTGAATTCTTTGGCTGTTTCATCGCAGTGAGTTAAGAGATCTGAAGGAAAATTAAATATCTACTGAGGTAAACAGGATCTTGCCAGATCTTGCAGCGCTTAGGACAATGCTAGAGGAAAAAAACACAACCATTCTAAAATTAGCCGTGGATAGCGTAAACCTCGGATTGTGTGACTCACGTGAGCAATGGTGCAATAATGCAGTTTGTGTTGATCAAGTGATGTGGTGTCTACAGTAATCAACGAATCATCAAGGACTGCTTTGGAATGTGCACTGCGTTGCGACTGTAGTGCTAAGACAACAGTTACATTTTAAAAGCGTGGTTAGAAGATCTAAAAGATCTTGTTCTACACAATTTAATATATACATCTAAAATAAAAATAGGTCAGCAATGCATACTTGTCAGTTTATGCTTAGTTTCATTCCATTCGGTCAGAGTCTGTTTTTAAAAGTCAGTATCTGGAAATTTAATTGCTAAAAGTGAGGGGGCAATCTCTATAAAGATAAAGGTGTTACTTTGAAACTGGAGACATTGTATTTGTGGTAGAAAACTTGTGGCCCCTTGGTCGCATTCTGGAAGTAAAACCAAACAAGAGAGACAGGCTTGTGAGGAGAGTCAGGCTGAAAACCAAGTTCGCAGTCCTGGAATGTCCCATTGACAAGATCGCTCTTCTAGAGGCTGCTAGACTCCATGAGAGCAGCTAAATATTGTCGATCTTGATGTCCTCAATAGACTGCAAGCAGTCTCTCTTTTGCTCGGAAGTCTGTGGGGAAGAATGCAGTGAAGAAAGCAAAACAAGTGTGACTGGGAAGCCGTGAGCTGCAAGTAGCACGGGCGGCTCACAGCTTCACATATCACGATCGCTCACTCATGACTCAACCCTTGTTTGTGTTGTTTCCTTCTTTGCATTCTTCCCCATGGATTTTAGAGCAAAGGAGAGACTGCTCGCAGTCTACATGTAGGTTCTCAACCAAGAAGTTTGCTTGTAACGTCAGAGAACAGTAACTGTTGTTTCTTTATTGACTTGATTGTGATGAACCATTTTGAATGGATTTAGTGACAATATATTACTCAAGTTTTTCCATAATCACTCAACTAAGTCTTTATGCATTCATTTTGCATTGAGGGACCGGTAGGTAGGATTCAAACATGTGTGACATTTCCCCTACATGCGTTACACTTGATTTAAAATTAAACTCATCAATCATAACATAAACATTAATAAACGTAAAACCTTTATTTCAACATGATAAGCTCGTGGGGTCCTGTATCGTGGGGTCCACAATAAGCTCGTGGGGTCCTACATTAAAATATGTTAATTAAAATAAATTAAACGCATGTAAAATACACGTGATTCATTGCATAAGATTTTCATTCAGTACGTATTATATCATGCAGCAATCGTGTCAATTGCATTGAGTTTCAGTTTAGGTCATCAGTTACTTCAATCTACCAGTTCACATCAATAGGAGGAAATATCTGTTAGTTGTTTAAGTTTATCTTTCTTTTATTCTGTTTGTCACCTATTCTTAGAATTATTGTAACCTATTGCTTTTTAGTCGAACACCACATGATTCAACCAGGTGCGTTGTAGAAATTACCTCTAAATCAAAGTAAGCAATTCGTTTTCAAATCACCTCTCGGTCTGATGTTTACATTAGTTCAAAGGTAACCGCCGCTCTAGTTTACCAAGGCACAAGGCTCATTAGGTTAGCCTCCTCTTCCTATAAGTTAAGTAACATGTTCAGTGTCAAGGACTCAATCTCCAATGCGCTCCATTCCCAGGTGGTTTACAAATTAACATGTGCAGGATGTCATACCTGTTATGTCAGTGAAACCACTAGACATTTTGGCACCAGGGTTCGTGAGCACTTACTCTCGGATCGCAATTCTCATATCTATAAACGTCTTCAGGGTTCTGAGTCATGTAAGAATCTATGCTCTTTTAATTGTTTTTCCATCTTAGACTCGGCTCTCACCAATTTCCAACTTAAGATCAAAGAAGCCCTTCACATTGATTTGGGAAAGACCCACATTGAATAAACAACTCAAACATGTTAATTTAACACTCCTACATTAATTACTATTTGTATTCAGCATTTTTCACAGATTTGTACTCCCACCTTTTTTGTATCCCTGTACCTTTTTCACTGATTTGTACTATTAAAATTCTACATGTTGTAATTTACACCAAATTGTTACCTACTTCATGCAAAGTCACTCACTTGTAAACATCCTTTAACTGAAGATGGATCCTGAGTATCCAAAGCATGTCTTTACATGAAGCATGTAAATTTAAACGGTGTGTAGTCTTTTTTAAATGTTTGAAAGGAAATTATGGCCATGAATTCAAGTCAAGAATCAACCACGCGCAATTGATACAGGCGACCTACATGTAACGTGACCCGGGACAACAAAGGAATTCAACACAAAAAATCCTTTAAACTTTACACAGCGAAAGCAACCATTACCTAGTAGATCAAACAACTTACAGAATACATTTCTTTTTCTCCAAAAAAGAATTCTATGAGATACACGTACATCTGTATGACTGTTATATCATGTCTGACGTTAACTCAGCATGAATTCAAAACGTAGCCAAAAGAACAAGTTTAAATATTGGCCTCTAAGCAATTTTAAAGCTCCCATTAGATTTGTGTTCATAAAAATCATCTCACTCATTCAAAGGGAAATTCCCTTTGGTTTGCAAAATTTCATAATTCAGGCTTTGCATCAATGCTAAGTTCTGTTATGTTATTTTTAATTTAATGTCAATGAACTCAGACCACAGGGGACATGAACAACATAATCATTTAAATTCATGTAAAATAGTAAACTGTTATTCACTAGGCCAATGACCTAGCTGAACATTCTTTCTGGGTGTTTGTTTACAGACCAACATTCTCTAGCTAAATGTGACTTCTGTTTCCATTCATTTAACCCACTAACCAGGCGATTCAAATTCCAAAACCGCGCAACTTTCAGAAATCACTGAGAGAGGAAGCACTTTCAATGACTTCACTAACCAATTCTGGTTTGAAACCCTTTTACACAGAAATTTCGTTCAAAAATGGTGAAAAGAGAACTTCAGACTATTTAAACATACATACATACATATATATTGGTCCAGATTTGGCTCACTTTTTTGCCATGAAAATAAACATTGTCGAAAACACAACCAAATGAGATTGACACAATCTGGGCATCATGGGGTGTGAGATACCAAGCGACCGCAAGTGGACTTGATATATCTGCCATCTCAACCTTCGTTACCGACCTAAACCATGGTTGATCACAAGGTAAAGCGAACTTTTACCTTGGTTAACATTCTGTTGTCTCGGGCGATGTTAACAATTTTCCATGAAAGGAACACATCACAATGCTTTTCATTGCCTGTCTTGCCTGTAAATCAGCTAAAAGAGCTACACAGTCAATAATAAATTTGGTCCAGCCCCGGGTGCATCGTAGCAGAGGTAAAGCTACTTGTCAAGTTATGTATTAATGAAAACAGCTTTGGATTGGAAGCTGAAGCAAATTGACATTTAACTAGACAGTGTTGGTCTGTATTTTGTTAAAAACAATGGTACATGCTTGTCATAAATTAGCAGGGATTAACAAAGTCTGGATGCTAAATTTAGGTCTGATAAAGGTCAAACAAGAAACCACAGTACCGCAAATAACTTTATTTCACCAAAGGTGCCATTGTAGTAGTTATTTGTCCCTTTATGCTCCAATTGATTTGCATATCCAACAGCTTAAGGATCACAACATATCTGCCTGTTCGTTCAATGACACCTTTTAACCTGTTCCAAAGACGTTCCCCACTTAGTCAGTTCCTTTAATTTGCTCTTTCAGTGACCTCAGAGGTTTCTCTTTGAACAGACTTTTTCTGTCAAAGAGCTTTCAAATTTTCTCCAATTCTCTTTTACATGTACAAATTGGACAAGGCAGTGGTCTCTTAGCCTGCATCACAGACACTACCCACTGCGGGTTACTTACAGGTAAATTTATGTCTGCAACACAGGCTATGATCTCTTTGTTGACAGGAAATCCCAACACAGATGAAAATTTCACCGCTATATTTTGCTCTTTTGAATGAACACCATCGAATAAGTTGAACTTTCCATATCCAGATATTAACAGATTCAAACTGAACACTCGACAAAAATTAGTTACCAATACATTATTTACAATATAATTAAACAGACGCTACTTGTTTGGTTGAAGATCTTGAAACACCGCTATTCCTCAGCCAGCAAATATTTATGTGTTGTTTCATGCATCGCTGCGCCACATGCAAACTTGTCAAATTACAAAAAACAAGCAGATCCCACAAAAACCGGTTTGGTGAGCTATTTGGTTTCAAAATCGCATGGTAGCAAGGCTTGTAATTGCCAGGACAAGAGGTTTTTTTTTTCACCATTATGATCACAGCTCCCCCGCTCGTAGATGGCAGCTTTACAACGAAAACAATATCTCCAAACTGCACTCTATTTCAGGCCAATCCATTGTTCATATAACTGAGGGTTTCAATATTGTATCCTATTTAAAACTAAAGCTGCATTCCTTGTCTATTTCTGCAATCAATGATCCACTTACTTGCCACATGGACTGAACTTTATGTCAAAAACAGGCTTTTTGAAGTTGAAATGATGAAGAATAGTCTTTGTTTTCAAATAAGCTAAGAGGCACCTTCCATCTGTAATAAATAATACCAACAATGTCTTGATATTTTATAGATGATAATTTCAAAGAAAAGAATGATGGCTGAGCTTAATGGTCATGCTGACTCCATCCATCACAATTTGAACAAATGAAATTCTACATCCAGGCCAAAGAGGTCCACACTGCTGATAATGATTTACCCCTTCACCAACCTACAATTCTGACCTAATCAGCATTCTACGTTAGGTGGGAATATTTATTTTTAATATATCTAGTACAACCCTATGCACCACTTCCTTGGAAGACTGTACAAAAAAGACTGGTATAAGGGTTGTACACCTTAAAATTATAGGAAATAAGAAGCTGTATGACCCTACTACAAAAGTGTGTGGCCTCACAACTACTTTGAAATGGAATTAAGATTTTGCAAAACTGATTAAAGCTTTGAAACACAGCTCCATGCATTATTGAGGGGATATTATATTGTAAGGAATTTTAGCTTTTAATTGTCTCATTTTCAAATTTGTGTAATGCTTGGTATCCAGTCATCTATTTTTTGTATAATTTCATTCCAGTTGAAAATTTTTCTCATAAAATGCATTTTCATGTGTGTCAGTTGAAACTAATTTTCATTTTCCTTGCAAGTCAACACCCTGACTCAAGTTCTTAAATTTAGTTCCTTATTAATTTCAACCCATAGTTTAGTTTATCTCTAGTAAATCATAGCTCCTAGTGTCAATCAAAATATGTAAATGTACTTGTATTAAACAGTTTCGTAAATCCTCCTATAAGTAGTTGCATAACAATCTTATTTATGTATTAATGGTCTAATATAAATATAGATGTGGTCCGCCTAGATTAGCCCAGGCTACGTGCGGGTTCGCACTGTTGCTATTGTCAAGCTTTTTTAACTTAATGTGTATATATTTCTGTAAAATTGTAAATATGCGAGTCATAATAAAAGTTGTAATAAAAAGTTGTAAAGTTGTTCAAGACATTGGGAGTAAACTGTATAGCATAGCTGCCAAAGAACACATAAATCTCTGTACTAACCATCATCAACGGTAATGATTATCCTGCCATCTGGAGACAAACAAATTCTTGATATGTTCTTATGATTTCCAAAAGGTAGGGTCCATGACTTGTTACTAATTATGACATAAACATACAAAATAAAAAACATTATCCAACTACATTGGTCCAAATGTACTATCATTTTAGACCAAACCATAAGTCATTTAAGAAAATTAAAAATGATGAATCACTAGTTTGAGTGATTTCAAAGAAACTAAAGAGAGGGAAATGTTGAGTCAAAACAATTTTCCAACATATTCAGGTTAGCAAGGGCAAGACTTCTTAGAGTTGATCATTTCTACAAGTGAAACTTATGCCTTGTGTATTACCAACCTTCTAAAACAATGATAATTTGGGGGGGGGGGGGGGAGAATGGACAATGCTTGAAAATATGCTTTTAGTTCTCGCATTTGATGAAAGATTATGATCTGTGCAACACTGACATTTGTCTCAACTAGCTACTCTTATCTGGGATTGTAGTTGGTACAGCCCCAGCTAAGTAGAATATTACGGCATGTTAGTCATATAATTTCCTAAATAACATGCCATGTATTTCACAAAATGGTATATTTACGAAGTCCATAAAACAGAAAATAGTTGCCATTTTCTTCCTGTTTATTATTCAATTCATCCAGCTATGGCATACACAATACAAAGACAGTAATTTATTAACGCCTCTCTTGTGAACACTCTAATCTTGTGAACAACCAACTGAGGGCTACTTCCCACCTTCAGCAAAAAAAATCAATTTTTCTTTTATTTGACAAAATTGAAGTCAGTCATTTTATCTAGCGTTTACAAAAGAAAAATCTTAAAAATCTCGAAAAGCAGCCAACTTATCTAGAAAAAAATGCATTTTCAAATAAAGTTAATAAACTGGAAAAGTTGCCATAATCTCTTAAGTGGAGGAAACTGCCATGGGACTTTTCCCGCAGACGCTCATCTTGAAGCTCGTATTTTGTGTTATTTGGTTTTGTTCATATCACATATTTGACAAATTTGCAAATAGAAGCCCTTTGCGATCCACTACATTGCTGGCTTAGCTTGTTTTGCCATGGGTTTTTCTTTTGCCTTTGGCTACTTTGCCCATTTAAATGTCTTCCTCTTCAAGGCTACAGCGAGATAGAAAACATGTTGCAATGCGATGTTTTTCCCGGGATTTCCCAATCCATTGTCATTGATGCCAGGAGGCAAGATAAACTTCTGGTGTGGGGCGAGTTGTTTACGAACCTTTATGAGCTAAAATCTCGCATATTTTAAGCTGTTCCAACTTTAGATGTGGATATCTAGTTTGTTATGGTTGCGTTAAAACTGGGGCACATACAAATTGTTTCCCAAAGGACACCCGTGAAGGTGGGAAGTAACCTTAATACAAATACAATAATAACATTATGAAATCCTGAAAGCCAAGCCCATTGTGTAAGCCGCTATGCATTATAGCTTCTTTTTAATAGCTGTTAATAAAATTTAAGACTTTCCAATTACCAAGATCTACACAGGAGGGGGATCTTTGATCTCGAAAACTCAAGCACGATGTGGAGGTTCAAATCATCTTGCCATCCCTTGGAAAGTGTGTGAATTATTTGTGGAAATTATAACCCATTAAGAAAATTTCCCGTAACCTTTAGTCATGAAACCTTGGCCTTTTATGTGACTTGTGTGACTATCCAATGAAAGGTTTCATTACAAGCCGATCAATTTGAAGACCACTTCTCGTAACTTACCTATAGACCTAAGACAAGCATCTTCACTGACCGATTTCAAATCTAAATTAAGTCACCACAGTTTAAAGTAATCTTAATTTTAAGTAAACTTTTAGACACAGCCTCCATGAAAGCAGTTTTTTTTTTTGCTTTAATTTTTATTGTAAGTAGGCAGATAGGTACATAGCCCAGTAACTTTGTTGACTGATGGAAAAACTGTGTATAAATAACGTTATCTTATCTCATCTTATCTTAAGCTTCAACATCCCTCCCCCTTGGACAACCCCTCCCCCCCAGCATTTGAACTTTTGAAGATTGGCTCATTCAAATTCCTGGGCGAAAATTGTATTCAAATACCCTACCCAAGTGCCTTGTGTGACCAAGGAAAGCTATAAAATTGAGCAAAGTTGTGGATTAGTTTTTGGCGCCGCTGTTTTTTCACTTGCAAGCGTCACTCCACGGTGTGAAAAATTTATGATACTAGACATGTTTAACAACTGAAAGCAATTAACCTTCAAATGAATTATACAGTTGAACCTCCAGTTGCGACCACCTCTCGTAAGCAACCACCTCTCCTCAGCGACCAGTTCTCCAAAATACCATTGAACAGTTTCCAAGTCAAATCACTATATTTGGAACCTCTTGTAAGCGACCACTTTTTGTAAGCAACCGCGACCACTTTTAGAGCTAAAAGTTTGAACTTTTTGTTTGCTTTAAACCTCCCATAAGCGACCAGTTGATCGATAATAGAGCAAAAATTTGACAATAAGGTGTTGTAACATTATCACATTTCTTAGTTGTACAAGAGACAGAAATTTCTCAATGGGAAGTACCTGATTTTTTTCAAAAGTGACTTTTCACATGAATAAAACATTTAAAACATGAAGTTACCTTTTGCTAATGAGGCAAAATTTTGACCCAACATGGTCTAAGCTCTCGTAAGCGACCACCTCCCATAAGTGAATACTGAGGCTTGACATTTTGGGTGGTTGCTTACGGGAGGTTCCACTGTATTTAAAATATAAAATTGTTTGAGAGAGGTTGTTGAAATTTCACAGCATTTGTTCAGTCACTATTCAATAGCAATTCATGCTCTGCAGACAACAACAGTTTTATGAAAAAGGCAAGATCAGCGACCGTGACTTTCTACACATTGACCAGCAATTGATTTGAATATTCAAGCTTTAAAACCTAAAAATCACAGAACTTAAATAAAGCTCTTCCAGCCCTTGACTTGTCAGCCATTCACTAACAAAAGTAACATCTTTTCCTTTAAACTTCTCCATACCTGGAACAACCACATGTATTCTGCTGGAAAGACTTGACACTTCCGGTTCCCAACCCACCCAGGCAAGGTTCAAATTCCCCACACCCACAAAGGCCTTTTGCACCAAATTCCCTACTCCCCAGGGGCACAGATGACAGAAAAAAGTAGTTAAATTAAACTTGCAGCCACAGTTCTGGGCCCTTTGAGCTTCTTATTGATGACAATTAGGGAGATATAATGCAATGTGTTATACTAGCACCAACTATTATGCACCATTTGAACAGGGCTCTACAAAAGCTACCTGATGTTTGAGAGTTGTTCCACCCTGTACTCACAACAACTTCCCCTATTTGATGAAATTTTCTTAAGGGGCTACGGAAGTTGACTCTGATGGCATGGGTCATTGTTTGATCTTTGGGTGTAGAATAAGGCCCTACGTGACTGTTGATGCAATGTCAAACTCTCCTTTCGTTTCACAATGGAATGCAAGGCAGTTTGGAGGGAGAATCTAGCAATTTATCAGGAGTTATTTAGGGACTTTTCCAGGCCCCCCTTTTTATTGCGAGGGTACGTGAAAATCAAGCAACTTTTTAAAGGAGTAAATTTTGACTTACCTTGTAGATACGGGGTGAGGGTGGATTTAAAATGCAATGGCCAAAAAGTTACGATTTGCGCTTGAGGTTACCTCGGGGCTAACACATTTTGCGATTACGTTTCTGGTTATCTTATACTGTTGTTCAAATTTAGAAAAAACTTACTTTTTAAGGTCAAAAACAGATGCTCTGTTACCAACTGGACTCACAACACAATCACCATCCGCAGTAAACACTACGTTTCCTTGTCGATAAACAGTACCTAGTATATTTGAAAACTGAACACACAAATTAAAATTAGAGAAACATTCTTAAAATTGCAACCTTGTTTAGTACCATAGTATAATACCTTGAAAGAAAGAGCCATTCTTCATTCCACAAATGAGCACATGGTCTACGCCATTATTGTAAAACAGGTTAGAAGTTAGAAGAGAGAACCTGGGAATGAAGGTACACTATATTTCTCTTGCTACGACGTATCTTCCCCTGCATGTCGATATTCGTTCAGCACATGTATGGAGCTGCACGGACTTGTGAAGTTCTCGTCTTTGTCGCAAAAAAAGTTTGGTCGATGAACTCGGGCTTAAAAGTTAAAAGTCTCCTTAGTGGTAAGCATTGATTTTTCCAATGTATACTGAGTTTATTGCAGCCAGATAATGAAGAGTACCTTCGTCAGAAATGTAAAGAAAAATGGAGGTTCCATCTTCCGGACACCCCAAAACGCAGACCATGCAGACTACAGACCGTGCAGACCATGCAGACCGTGCGGACTGAGTACTTTTTTTCTGGCACTTGACTCACTTTTTTCGCTTCTAGTGACAAAATAGTGTTCAATATGTCCTAATGTTTGTTATTTATCCGCAGGCGGCACAAACTCAACGTTTGACTGTTGATTCACGCGTTTAATAGACTTTCTATGGGAAATTCCCTTTACTGGTCCTAAATATACTAAAATCAAGCATAAAAATAAACTTCTATATATTCTGGGCGCAAATTGCGTCAATTTTCGACGAGTTTTTGGTTTTATTTATTTTGTCCAATTTGTTGTTGTGTTTTTTTTGTTTTTTTTGTTTTTTTTGTTTTTTTGTTTTGTTTTTTTTTCCATTTTCTTAGTCCTTGTTCTCCTCTTAACTGGATCATAAAACAAAGCAAGGACGGTGACTTTAAGTGACCTCGTCCCACAAATCGCTTTTGCTTTGCAAAGCACAGAATTGCCATTAGACTAGGAGTATTTGATTCCCTCTTTCACTTAGTTGAACATGACTGTAAGTAAACCTTGAGGGAAAAAAAATGCTCACATGAAATTTTTTCCTCGAGGTTATGCGTCACGCACAATGGACTAAGCAAAAGAGGGACCACTCATAGTCTAAATCACCGTAAAAACACAACTGCCATAAGGACAGATAAATTAACCATCGCCTCAACTCGTCACGGCAACCGTACTGTGCTGAGAATTTCAAATGCTATTCAGTTTTCTGTGATCGATCTTTCCATGCGCTAGGCTTTTTGGCGTGATCACAGTCACACTCTAACAGCCATTTGGAATTACACTTTGTATAGGAAGAGTAGAAAATGCACAAGTTACGTGTCACATTACATTACAAGTGAAGTTTATTTCTACATTTTAAAATAGCTTTACTTAAGCATATTTAGGACTATTAAAGGGAGTTTCCCTTGCAAAATCTATAACACATCAACAGTCACATACCACCGAGTTTGCACGGCCTGTGGATAACAAACACTCCAATATATGATTGAACAGAACCAAAAAATATGCGAGTCAAAAGTAAACGCAAAAACAAGAATAAGAAAAAAAAAAAGTACTCAGTCTGCACAGTCTGCATGGTCTGCATTTTGGGGTGACCAGACTGAAATAGCCCAGACCATATCTGAACACTGAATATTTCTTATTCCCAGGAGGTATTTAATTCATCTTTTGCCAGTATTTTTTGACAGTGTTTCAGCAGCTAGTAATGGTAACTGGACCAAGATGAGAACAATTCAGGAACAAATCTCTCAAGTAATGTCAAACTGGTACGAGCATGCTGCAAAGCCAATGTAAAATTACGAGCACAAATTACTCCCTGAATTGCAATTTTATGACAGGAGGTCAAATATTACTGATTAATCATGTTAATTGATTAATAACAAACATATTTTTTATGAACTGCTGTTGAACAGAAAAGTCAGCAAGAATATGCGTTAAATTTAAATTCCATGCTACATGCTCTGATTAATACAAGGTTCCGGCTACCACATGTGCGTTAATTGCAGGGCTTCCCCTAACAAGATTGTCTAGCCATGGAGTCTTCTCAGGTGCTCAAGGAGTACTTATTAAGCAACTGAATGGCAGCAGCAGATATAAAGGGTATGGAGTACACTCAGGTGAATCACCAGGCAGTAAATATGGGGCAATCATTACAAAGACACAAGGATCAACACTGGATAGACCTGTTGTTGTTATTCTTGGATGGAACAGTTCCAGAGGTAAACATCTAAAAAAGTACAGCAAGATATTTGAAGCAAAGAACTTTGACAGTATCTGTGTTCCTGCCAATCCATTAAACACATTTTTTAGAGCTGGAACCAAGGTGAAGAAAATCAGCCTTCATATTTTGGATCTTCTGGTTGAACTTAACTGTCAAAGGAGACCTGTATTTCTTTATGCATTTAGTAATGGTGGTTGCGCTATGTTCTTTCATATTATGGAAGGCCTTTCATATCCTACAGAGC